GGAATGATTCAAATGACACTTTTTTCATATAGATGATGTACAACAACCATCTATACCGAGAGCGCAGCTTTGCTGCTGGTTGCAGTGTTTATTCCATCTTGCGCTCACAGTGGCAGGTCATTTAAAGTCTGCTTGGGTACCACAGCCCAGGCATGCCCACGGCAAACTGACGGGCGCAGTAAAGTGCCTTCTATTTGCAGGCTCGTAAGATGTTTGGAGCTCAGCTAATCAAAGAGCTGCTTCAATGTGGCATGTCCTATATCTGTATCATGTGATGACCACCTTTTTTTTTAACAAGTAAAGAAAAATCATAATTTTAACAACTTTGGTATTGTCTCCTTTTCTTGACTGCAGTCGCCTTTGTTCCTCTGAAAAGTTTGAGACTTGCTCGTTGTCATTACAATAGGAAAGTGCTTCAAATTAAACATACACAACTGGCTAACCAAGGGCAAAGACATCTGAGGGCACAAATCCCCAATTGTCCATTCAATGAATTAATGAATACAGAAATTAAAGAGAGCAATGTTTCTTTTATGCCTATCAAATAAGCATACTGAAAAGACAGAAAAATAATTTCCTATTTTGACTACGTTATATATTCCCAAATTTGCAGCGAATTAACTTCCCAAACCATCCCAGACTATGGGCACGTTGTCATTCCAGGCATGAAGACAAAGAAACTGCTCCATGTCAATGTGTGTGAAGTCTATAAATAAGAGAACCTAGTTGCATAAGAGTCCTATATGCATCATCTATGAAAAGTAAATATTAGAGAGCAGTGTAAGCCCAGGTCAGATGTCATGGACAGCAAAGTAAGAATAAAAGTTTGCACAATCATGCTATCTGGGTGAGACAGAAGGTCAAGAAAGTCTCCCCAGAGCAGGCTGTTTCATTGGGCCTAAAGACAATACAGTGCATCTCAGCAGGTATGTCTGAGCTGAGAAGTCACAAGAACCTGGGTTTCTGAAAGGCACCCTAGAAACTCAGGGCACTAGTGAGACACTAAAAAACAACCAACAACAACAACAAAAAAGCCAGAAAACACCAGAAAAGCCCACCACCCACTTAGTGCTTCTTGAACAAATTTGTGAAATTCATTGTGTCCACATTAATCTCTGGATTACTGCCTCCTGCACGCACAATAAAGCCAATACATGGCTCCTTACTGAAATTAAGCTCAGAATGGTTTCCCTCCGATGCCCACTCTGCCATCCCAAAAACAGTGTAATAAAACATGACTGATCCTTCTTAAAGTTTCCCCACTCCTCTTCCACAAAGAACACAGTGAATGAGACTGCCTGTATATGTGGTAGGTATACACGTGTGTACACACATGTGCAAAAAGAAAGACTCCTGATTCAACAGCCCAGTACTTCTCTGGGGTGGAAGAGAAAAAAAAAAAGCTTCAATTCCCAGTTGGAGTTAAGAGCAGGGACCTGACCCCCATTTTTCTTCATGTGAGGAGAGTACCCATCTTTTAGACTACAGCTACTTTCATACAGGTGTCTCACTCCAAGAACTCTTTGGCTAAGCTTACACATTTCCAATTACAAGATTCAGTGTTGTTAAATCATGGTGCTTCAAGAAAAGAGTTCTTACTACCCCCAAATTTTGTACTACATACACTCATAACTGCAGGTAAAACAGTCACCTGTGAAAGAAAACAGTATTTGTTGAATTCAGAAACTGATGTGTAACATTAGAAATGAGAGGATCAGTTTCAGCAGAAGACAGGAATAGGGTACTGCAATAACATCACCTTTTTCTTTCTTGAAGAATCAAAAGGAAAACAAAAGTGGTTCTCTCACTTTTATCATGCAGAGTGCTGCTGTAAACCTCTTTGGGTATTAATGGCATTTGCGGCATTTTTTCCAACTCCTACACCAACTTTGACTTTGGCACGATAAATACAAATGTTCTGAGGGCCAGAGGAAGGAATCAAAGATGAAGTGAGATTACAAACCTTTAATGTACTGCGGTTGCCAAGCAGGCAGTTCTGTAGCACTGGTTCGTATTTTTTCATCAAAGTATCCCAGTTATGGTCACTAACAGTAAAGCTACTTTCATAGCCTGAGGTGACAGAAGAGCCAGCAGATGCTGCATCCGAGGAATCTGTAGAATATGAAAATGTTGCATCTGTATCCGAGAGAGAGATAGTCTCGCAGTCCTGTATTTTATCATTCACTGTGGTCTCATTTTCATACCCCAAATCCTCGTCAGGCCTGGAGAAGCAATGCAAAGCTACCAAACGCTCATGAGTTTGTGCCATCTCTTCTGGCTTTTGCAGATTTCCTGCAGTGCTGGGATACTGAACATATTCAGCTTTGACTGTTGACTTGCCTTCAGCATCACTTACTCCAGAGGCCGAGTTCAGGGAGAGCTGTATGAAGCTGAAACGTGAACTAAAGCTATCGTGTGCACCAACAGAACGAGAAACATCTCTGTTTTGATATTCACAGTTGTTATTCACTTCTGTCTGATCCAAAGCACACACGTTTGAGGGCTTGCTCACTTTAGCACTGGGGCTTTTCTGCTGTGTAGAGCATACAGCAGAAACATCTCCTTTGCTTGTTGCTGCAGCAGGGTGAACTGCATTTTCTGCCCATGGATTCTTGCAACACGAAAGATTTTTGTGGCGTCCTGGCATATTTCCAGTACTGGCCAACATTGTTGCCCCATTAGCAGGAACTATGACACTACTCGCTGCACTACAAGGTACAAATTCAAAGTTATTTTGGCATTGTCCACATAGAGAGCAGTTCTCAAAGTTTCCACAATGCTGCCTGCCATGTTTGAGCTCTTCCGGGCTGAACGGTTTGCAGGCACCCAGGGACTGAAACTCTATCTGTCGCTGAGCTTCTGGCCTCATGTATCCAGGTCTTATTGCCAATTTCTTCTTACGAAGAGAGCCTGCAGGCATTAAGTGCTCCTGACCATCTGGGGGAAGGAAAAAAAAGTCATTAAAGCATTTCAGCATTTTTCTATGCTTAACATATTGTAGCCTCTGAAAATAATTGTTTCAGGAATTTCAAACAGCGCATCACTTTCCATTTCAACAGAACAAAGGCACTGACCATCCTGCAGATAGAGGAGAGAGGTGTTGCCAGAGAACACTGTGTGTATTCACTCACTTTCTAAAGAGTTTGCACCTGCTTTTAAGTCAACTCACTAACATAATCACATCCATCAGCACACAAACCTGGATACAATGAATCACATCATTTTCCCTATTCATAGCATCACTCTGTGCTGCTTCATTCTGAATTTGCTTAGCAGCACGCTAAAGCACAGACCTTATTTCAGTCTCTCTGATCCAGAATGATTCTCAGACTTACAAGCACATCTAGGATATGACTGAATCTGCATCAAAAAGACAAGAACCATACCCAGAAAGAAATTTTGTGCATAATCTGTTGTTGCTTGTGTCCAGTTTCTTGTGTTCATACCCATGTTTTATTAGTACAAGCAAGTGATTCAGATTCTGCTTCCAGAACAGATGCGACTAACACTCTGTAGCTGCAGATGTCAGTCTAATGAGATATTTTGTAAGCTGTCATTTAGATTTACTGTACTACCTTTTGCCCAAAATGTAAAGTTAAAGTTTTGTATGCAGGACCATCAGGCCTAGAAAACTAATGCCACCATATGTTTGGTAGCATTATTGCAGTATTAATATCATTAAGAAAAGGCCTCTCAATAGCTCAAGTTCCCCACATATACCTTACTTACATAGATAAAGATATAAATTTACTGTTTGCAGAGCAGGCTAGAAAGAATCAAGATAAAAAACACAATGAACATTAAAGTGGGAGATCAGAATGTGGTATCCTGTCTTTGTTTTCTGTACATTTCTATTAAAAAAAATATGGGTGAAAGATTACGTGGAGACTACTTTCAGTTTCTTATGGATTTACTGCTAGTCAAAAGTTATTCCATTCATCTATCCTGCACACAATCAATGGGAATACAAGCTCTGCACCATCATCCATTTTGTAACACAAAAACATATTGACCGGACCTATTTGCCAGAATCACCTTTCAAAGGGATTTAACAACTAACTGAATTACACCCTAGATCAGCTGCCCTCTACTCACTGAAACAGAACCAATTGCCAGAATCTCAGGTCTTAGAAGCATTTTCATCACCCAGACCAAGCTCTTCCAAAACCACAAGTTTCAGGGGGTTTTCTTTATATGCAGTTTATTTAACACTCATCTCTAATCACAATTCTTTGTCAATTTTTACATTCATAGATGTCCATATAATTTAAACTCCTCACACAAATCTCATATACACCTCACTACAATGACATCCTATATAAAAATTAAAGCATTAGACCTGAAACATCCCAGGAGACAACATTCACTACAGTGTCTCCAAATAACCTTCAGCAAAAGCAATTTATACATTTTCCACATACTAGAATAGTGGCACATCTCACCCTAGGACTGCAGTTAAGCTGCTGTATTCTGCTTCATATCACCATAAATTAGAATACCCCAGCTGTCTCTCACATTCTCTTTCGTCAGAGGAAAAAACATCACAGAAATCAGAAATAAAAAAAGGTCACAGAGTCCATCAGCCTGTCTACTATAAAAAGACAGTGAAATGCTGAACTGGGAGTAATTTAATAGAAGTGTTAACAAATAGGAAATGCTCTTGGAGTAAGGGAACAAAAATTGAACAAAATGTTCTTTAGAATGTAATTCTTTTAGTTTATATAGAATTTAATTTTTAGTTTATATACAAAATAACAGTCTAACTTTGTCTTCAGCAAAAGAAATCAGTCACACATAAAAGAGTCATTTCTAAGAGTGGATATACTTTATCGTCCCTTACAAAGGCTAGTCACAGACCTCATCTGTGAAAATGGAAAAGGTTCTTTGGTTTAATTAAAATCAGTTTAAATATTGATCTCACTACATCACTATGAATTTCTAAAGCAGACAGATAATTACAGCTCTTTAAACACCAAATTTAAACTAAGCTAATGTAAGTGAGGTTTAAATTGGCCAAAACATTAGATATTTGCACCAAGTGAACTGGATGCAATTCTAAAAATCATTGGAGCCAAAGTGGTACAACTCCAGTATCCTGAACTCGCCCACACAAAACCCACACATCTCTGCACTCCTCCCAACATTTGCAGGTAACCCTCTAGACAGGTTTACCATTCATGTCTTTTACAGACTCCAGGTCTGCCTCCTGGCGAGTCCAGCAGAAACAAGTCCCTCACCTGGCTACCAGAGCAGCATCACTGCCTGAATTATACCCAAGCCACCAGCCATTCAGAGGGTGTTACGAGGAGAGGGATGCACCTGAGCACAAGGCAGAGGAGTGGATGGATACAGAGGTGGGACCAGCACTTCAATACAAACACCTACGCCTTCCCCAAAGGATAAGGGAGAGAGGAGGAGGCCACAGCCTGACCCCCAGCTCCAGCTAGAGAGCAGTCGCAGTGCCCTCAGCCATCACAAAATCCAGCCAGGATGTTACTATGGCTTTGGGTATACTGCTTGTGCACTGTTTACCCTTCTGTCATGTCCTTTTTCATCATGTATCTGAAATTTAGTTACAAAGACTTCATTTTTCTGCATAGCCTTCCAACCATAGCTTGCTTTGTCTGAACATCAGACACAAAAACTACACTGAACCAATTCAGCAAGTTTGCTAAAACAAGACAAGCCTCAAATTTTTCTTATAATTCCCTCAGCTTCAAGTACATCAACTAACTGATGGCGATTAACTACAAGACTATCAAAACAGTACCTTGGAACACTGTGAAACAACTGAAGGTAATTAAAACCCCCTACATTATAGTTTGTCATTCACTGTATGAGATATGCACTTAGAGAAAAGTCACAAATGGAAGAAGGGCCTTTCAACTGTTGTATTAAAAATCAACTTTTAAAAAATGTTACAACCCTAGAAGATGATGCAACATATGTCAGATTACGTGCAAATTCCTTCAAATACAAATTATGAAAGCCCAGAAATAACTTAATTATAACAGCTCTTTCACCACAACAAGCTTTCCTGATGACCAACATTTCATAAAAACTAACGGCTCAGAGCCAGAGCACAGGGGGAGAGAGGGGAAAAAATAAAAAAGTCTATTGCTGTAAAGCAAGGCATGACCAACAATGCTGTTCACATCTTCATTGCACCAATAAGATGAAAGAGGGAGAGGTGAAGTCAAAGAGGGTTTTCCACTGATAGAGCACTTTCTCTTGTACCCAGTCTGATGCTAAAGGACAGCAGAACAGTTATCTAATTTATTTCAGATAATCAGTCTTTGTTTTCAGTCACAAAAGTGGCAGTGCAATTTTTTGATCAAATGCCTTAGCGGCATCTGTGGACAGACAGCTGTAACTACGTTACGTTTCTGTAAAGTCCACTAGGATTTTCTAGATCAGCACAGAAACTCTGAACCAATTATCTCCCCACCCCTGCTTTAAACACATCACGCAGAATGCTTGCAGACTCATTAAGTTTTCCTTGAAAGTAAGTGAGAAATTAGTTTTAAAGAGAGCTTGATTATCCAAATACACCTATATTACATATGGTTGATTTTTATCGGAATAACAAATTCACCTTCAGAGCATTTGTGGGTGGTTAACTGTGGTGTGGAGGAAAAGATACTTGGTCATATTTAAAGCCAACTATCAAAGCACTGCTCCAAGCAATTTCTGCAGTACGGCTTCTGTTAAGGAAGCCTTAAGCATCTGCATTAAACTGTATGCAAACAAAGAGAGTGAGTTGAAAATACTTATTATTTAAAAACAGAGACATACAAAAGTTTAACCTAGCAGTAACAAAAATGAACTACTCTGGGGTTAATCAATCTGACATGACAATAACCATTACTGTTCAGTTCCTACATCATAAAAATATGTAAAATGTTGCAGGTTCCTAATCAGTTATATTTTGACTTATTTGCTGAATTTCAAAGATACCACTAACATTCAAAATAAGATGGCACTGATCTCAACACAAGCCAGCTTTCAACGAAAGTTACTTTTGAATAAAGATTTTTATAACTCTTAAAATGCAAAGGTCTCATTTAGCTTTTTCATCTTATTGAATGTTGACCATACTTTGATCTATCTAGCATTTTATAAAGCATATCTATAGAAGACAAGCAATGGCTGAGCTATGTTATATTTGATACCATTTACAAATTATTTCCTCACCAAGGGTTCCTGGCATTTCTAAGGTTGCAGGCTGGAGCTATTCAACTGTTAAAATTCCAAGACGTCATGTATAAAATATTCTCTGAAATCATTAAATGCATGTTAGTTTCTATTCTTCATTAAAAAACACTTAAGAGTTGGGCATTTTAGAAGCCAGAGTGGCCTTCCTTAGCCAGTGTTTAAATAATTATATTTTTATTGACACAGTCCCATAATGCACGTCATTGAGTTGTTACATTTGAGCCACTTAACCTCCTTAACGCAACAACTCCTTTTAAGCCATTTGATGAAATTGCAGCACCTCTCTCTAGAGTAAGAATCACATTAGCTGTTACCAGTTTCAATATGCCCATCAACTTTTTTTCCTCTGAAGAAAAAAGTATTTTAAACTTGGTTCTGCCTTAACACTATGAAAGAAAAAAAAAAACACTACTGAAAAGTAAGCTGGTAAATATCAAACACTTCCCATGTCAGTAAGATTCACCTATTCAGTCATGGGGAATAAGAGAAGCACCCTTTCCTTAATTACATATTATAATTATGTTCGATACTACTAACACTTTAAGACACATCTGCATCCATCAGTATTCAGCAGTGCATTGACTATGCACAAAAGCAGGCTTTTTACTCAAGCAAGTGCTGTGCTCAATCAGGGCCTAAGGCACATTGATGTGACAAAAAGAACGGAAATATGCCTTTCTGATCTTTTGAAATTTAAAAATATAATAAGAATCCAGCTTGAG